GTTTTGGTTAAGAGAAATTGCTGAACTATTTATGTTGCTAATACCATTCTACATACTGAGATGAAAGCTTGGTGTCTTCAGTACAGGAGAAACCAACTGTTATCGAGTCTTTTTTCATTTACTTATTTTTTTCTGAGTCGAGGTTCTAAACCTGTTTCCAATCAATGTTCAGCCCCAGGACAATCTCCTTATTTTGCTTAGGTCCTGCTGTACCTTAAGTTCCTGCTTTTATTTTTTTTTCACTTACCTGCATTTTCGTGATGGTTCCTTGTAGAAATATAGGCTTGAAAGGCACACTCTTGGTCTTTGATTTCCTGCTGTTGCAGATATTCAGCCTCTGATAGTTGTTCTCTTAGTTAAATGTTTTTTCTTTTTCCTTGGTGTTCCTATCTTGACACCTACACAGATCTTCCCCTTAGTCTTCCATTTGTTAAGCTAAACAGCAAATGTTTTCTGTTTCTTCTCAAAATTTCCTTGACCACTGTGGAAGCCTTTACCTCTTGCGGTTTGAATTCCTTTTTCAGTCATAGATGATCAGAATCAAGAAAAACAAGATTTGACTAGAGCTTCATGTTACTGCATTAATGTTGATGTCCATGTATTAGAGATATCTTCCCTGATAATTTTAAAATTTCATTTCAATTTCCATAGAGACATCGAGTTGGTAGCTCACAATTACCCTGTGATGAGCTTTGTCCCCACAGTTCCATCCACTGTAATTTTGAATTGCTGTGCTTTCAGGTCTTTAGCAGAAACTTAATTATGTTTCAGTTCACGTCTCCGCATTTTGCATTATTAAATTTTACCCAATTTTTATTCTTGTGACCCTAAAGGTAATCCCATGTCTTCCTGGTAGTGTTTCATTCCATATATATTAGCAGTGCTTTCCAATATCAGAATTTTTTAAACAAAGCCCAGCTGTGTTTTCTTGTATCATTCATACTACTTATGCTCTGGTCATTAATAAAAATATATGATAAAATCGATCCCTCAAATTGCTGCTGGGGAATATGCATTGGAATGGTTCTTCCAGCTCCTTTGTACAGCACTGCCTCGTCTCACCTTACTTTCACAATCTGAGATACCTTTCACTGATCTCAGGTGTTCTCCATCATGATTTTTAGTACTAGCAAACATTAAAAAGTTGAGTGACAGCTTCTGGTCTTTGTTCTCTCACTGCTTAAGCCAGATCTTTTCACACAAAGCTGATTTGTGATAGATTCCAAGTGACCATTACTTCACCTTGCATAATCCATGGGAACTCTGAGTTCACACCTTTTTTTTTTTTGGTATTCTTTCTCTTTTACTGTGAAGAAAAGTGATATAAAAGCAAACTGTATTTGTGCGTAATGCTCTTGTATGGTATAGAGTGATACCTGTTGATCCTCTAAAGGGAATGGATTACCAGATTTTTGCTTTAACATCACAGAATAGATATCTATATAAGTATTGTATTTATACCCTCTCTATTTTTTAACATCGCTAATGAAATGTGAAAATTTTCACCTTTGCAAAATATTAACTGTATTCCAATGAGGAAAAACATGGAATAACTTCTGGGAGAAGATTTCACTTGCGGTAATACGCATGAAGCAGTAACTGTGTTTCTGAGTGCATTTGTAATTTGTTCTGAGATCATAACCTAACTCAGGAAAAGTGTCTTCTGTCTTGCCTTTTGCTAGCTTTCAAATTGTTCAGATGTCCAGCTGGAGCAGAGATTATGTTCTCTTGTGAGCAGAAACTTGAGTGATGTTTCTGACAGCTGTGGTTATAGCTCCCAGCATTGTGGTTTTCACTCTTTGAGTGGACATCATCATGTAGTACAAGACTTGCAGGGAGAGAGCCTCCATAATGTTTATGAAAGTTTGTTTTTGGTCACTAGTAACTGTTGTGCTGTCCTTCATATCCCAGCTAGAATGATGGTTTGTGGAGACTCGGAAGTGGTTGCCAGCAATTTACGGATGCAAGGTTGTGTACTCCCTCACCTAGTTTTAAGTAGCTACTCATCAGAATATAGCATTGTGGAACTGGGTGTTTGCATAGGAGTAAATAACTTAATATTTAGTTCTGGTGTATTATTATTAGTTTTTAAGAATTACCTTTGGAAATATAAGTATTACCTTGGGAGATGCTCCCATTTGATACTGATGAGCTTCAACAAGGCCAAGTGCCAGGTCCTGCGCTTGGGTGACAACAGCCCCGTGCAGTGCTACAGGCTTGGGGAAGTGTGGCTGGAAAGCTGCCTGGCAGAGGGACAACTGGGGGTTCTGATTGACAGGCGGCTGAATATGAGCCAGCAGTGTGCCCAGGTGGCTAAGAATGGCAATGGCATCCTGGCTTGGATTAGAAATAGTGTGACCAGCAGGAGTAGGGAAGTGATTGTCCCCCTGTACTCAGCACTAGTGAGGCCACACCTTGACTACTGTGTCCAGTTTTGAGCTCCTCAATACAAGAGAAATATCGAGGTGCTGGAGTGAGTGGAGAGGAGGGCAGCGAAGCTGGTGAAGGGCCTGGAGAAAAAGTCCTGTGAAGAACGGTTGAAGGAGCTGGGCCTGTTTAGTTTGAAGAAGAGGAGGCTGAGGGGAGACCGCATCACTCGCTACCACAACCCGAAACGACATTGTAGGGAGGTTGATGCTGGTCTCTTCTCACATGTAATTAGCAATAGAACAAGAGGGAATGGCTTCAAACTGCAACAGGGTGCGTTTAGACTGGACATTAGGAAACATTTTTTCACAGAAAGAGTAGTCAGACTTTGGAATAGGCTGCCCAGGGAGGTGGTTAAGTCACCATCCCTGGATGTGTTTAAATGTCATTTGGATGTGGTGTTGGGGGATATGGTTTAGCGATGAGCTTTGTAGAGTAGGGTTGATGGCTGGACTTAATGATCCCAAGGGTCTTTGCCAGATTGAATGATTCTATGATGCGGGGAAAGCTATTTTCCCCTTCTTTTACTACTGAATCACTCTTGTCTGTTTTTTCGAAGTGCCTTTTGTCTCCTTCTATGTATGTGTTTGTCCTGTGTGCATAGATTTAGTAGTATTTTCTAGTTTGAATGTGAATTCGTGAGTTATTGTGGAAAACTTGAAAAGTGGCAGCTTTCAAGGACATTGACAATGATCAAAGTAGCACCCTAATTGCCTCTATCATCAGCAATAAAAAGGCAGCTCAGGTTGTTAAGCCTCAAGATTAATTCTTTTGGAGGATATGAAAAGCAGTGGCCTGATACGGTCCTCTACTGTACTTTAAAGCCTCCTCAGCCTCCACTGAGTAGCCTCTGTTGGGCTGCTGCCCACATCTCAGAATCACAGAATTGCCCAGGTGTGAAGAAACCGTTAAGATCATTGATTCCAATCATTAACCTGACATTGAGAAGTCCTTGACTAAAGCATACGCCTAAGCACTAGGTCTACACAACTCTTAAATACCTTTAGGGATGGGGACTCCACCACTGCCTTGGGCAACTCATTCTAATGCCTGATAAATCCTTTGGTAAAGAAATTCTTCCTAATATCCAATCTGAACTTCCCTTGGCTCCACTTGAGGCCGTTTCCCCTTGTCCTGTCACTTGGCTGAACAGACCAATCCCCACTGTACAAATGTGGGGCTGAGTTCCCTTTCCCTGGAGATGTAGTGTCCTTATGTTGAGGCAGTTGCACACTGTATAAAGTGAATCAATTAAAAATTGATAGCTGACAGTTTCTCTCTCTAAAGGGAAATATGTGATATATGGATGAGACCAGTTTGCTTTTATAAGTGCCATAATGTGAGTGACTATAAGCCAAATTTGATTAATGCCGAATTACTCAAAAGAACAATTACTACAACTGCATAGTAATAATGTTAAACTAACAGAATAGAATCTGGGTGGATTAATTTAGGACTGTTGACTTCTAGTTTTAGCTTCTGCTTGTATTTCAAAGTAAAGAAGGACATCCAAATTTGTTTCAATAACGCGCAAAATGTAGTTAAATTAGGGAAGAATTTTTCCTCCAAGTTTTATCTTTCTGTAAAATTCAAATGGTAGCGATATATTTCGGCATATGTTGAGGGGATATTCTTGTGTATTTGAGAATGTGGACTGAGTGCCTCAGCAGGACTTTCTCACTGTGTGAACATGGGTAAATTTTCCTGTGGCTCTAGAATTCAGAGGAATTCTTAAATCATAACTTTTTCCAGTTTGTTGGTAACACTGTTTCATCCTAGAGCTGTGATTTTTTTGTTTGCATAAATTTGTTGCCATAATAATAGCAACAGTAAATATATATATTGATTTATAATAATCAATTTCGCTTGCATCAAGTATGCATTTTAATAAAAAGTCTGGTTATTGGTTTGTAGTCTTAATAATTTATAAATTATTAAAGAGGATACTGTACATTTGTTAGCTTGAAAGGTCTCTCATATCAGAAAAAACTCATGCATGATTGTTTTGTTTGATATCAAAACACATTTTTGCTGTCATAATACTGGCACATTTTCAAGGCATGCTGTTTTCTGGCTGCTAGCAGGGAGTAATGGAAACAATGCAGTGATCATGTAATTTATTGAGAATAAACACTAAAAATACTTGGGCAAGCAATGTTTTTAATTTAATAGGGACTAGTATTCCTAAGGCTGCATAAAAGAGCTGTTTCAGTACCACAGAGGTATTTAAATGCCTTGCTGCCTGTGAATTGTTTATAATTTCTTTCTGGTAATTTTCCTTTGGATCAGATTGTGATGTCTCCTGAATTGTGATAGTGCTTGTTGAGGAGTGGTCATGCAAGCAAAATTCGATAACCTCGATATGTCACTTCATCTGCCGTTTTTCTTTTGTTAATGCAAAGCTGGTTGCATAATATCTAATTTCTCCTTTAGCTGACCACAGATGGAAACAAAATCTATAATGGCAGCGCTAGGTTTTGTAAGAAAAAAAACGCGAGTGAGGAGTTGAAGGATGTGGCTTGTTCTGTTTGGATGATGCAGGATTGCTTTAAGCAGTAAGCTTACTGTTTTCAGATGGCATTAGCAGCATCAGTGATATAGCTGTGTCAGCCTCCTTGACTACTGGATGTCTGTAATCGCACGGAGGAAACTATATTTAAGATCTGATATCTTAAGGGTAATGACTCCAGCACTTGCTGATGGACAGAATGGCTGTTAATGCTTTCTTTACTAGCCCAGAAGATTCTGAAAGATAGATGGGTCCCTGTGATGTACTTTTCTGAGACAGGAAATGCAATTTTTGGGGGTCTCTGGAAATAGGAAGGTCATGCAGCTTGGAACCGGTGAGACATTACAGTCTCTAAGTCATCAGGTATGACCTCATAGTTTATACTAATATTTCTAACACAAGGGTTTGTTTTACAGTTTTAGGTCGTTTACGATCTCTTTGTCTGTGTAATTGCTTCGTGTTGGATTTGCTACAGGATTTATAGGGGAGACTGTTTACATAAGCAGAGCGATGTATAGCTTGGAAATCTAACGTGCTGTTAGTTGCTGTTTGAACAATGTAAGCTTATTCCAGATATATTTTCAACCTGTTTTTCTTGTGAATATGATTTCTTTTGACTAATTTGTGCTAAAAGGTTATACCTTTGCTGTAAAGTAAAATGACAAGATTGTATTGCAGTTTTATTTTGCCTTATCTTTACATGGCACACAAAGCAATTGTAAACGTGCATGTTTGTTGCATGAGATGCAGTATAAGGCAACTGTTTACCTACAGAGGCAGGTTATTTAAAACAACGTTATCACATTGTGTAACAGGACTGAGCTATTCTGCAGGCACAGATTTTGCTTCATTTTGCAGTAGTAGATTTTTTTTCCCCTTTCATTTCAAAGCTGTTTAAAAATAGCTCACTGAACATAACAGTGAAAGTTTGGCACGATGACTCTTCCCTTTTTAATTATTACGCTCAGTGACACATACTAATGCTAATGGGTTGTGAAAAAGAAGATTAATAACTTAAATTCGGATCGCTGTTTAAAACCAAATTAATTTTACTGAAACATGTCTCATCCTTTTTGTTTTAACTCTTGCCAACTTTACTGCAAAGCTGATACATTTGTATCAGCTGATGTATTGTGGTGATGGACAGGAAAGTCAGAGCACATAAAGAAAACAAGTATATGTGTGTTTTTTTACATAGGAAGGTGGTGGCCTAATTCGATGTATGGGGCACAAAATGGAATTTGAGATATCATTATCACTTCAGGTGTTATAAATGCTCTATAATAGCCATTGTTTCCCTTGAGTACATCATAGACCAATTATATTTGAAATCGCAGAAGTTTATTAAAAAATTATATTCAGCTCCATCTTAAATTCTAGATGTATTTGCAGAACATTTCCATGGCAACCTGCTTGGCCATGTGTTTTAAAAGCTCAGCTGAAGCCTGAAAGTAGTGTGCAATTTTTCTGTCGCTTGCTTTACCCTTCTGGAACACCAATTTTCGCATATAACTGGACTGCAGATTGACAGGGGTGAGCGGTATTTCCTGACCCCAAGCACAGGATTAAATGATCAAGGCTTAAAAACATTTTCGTATTTCCACTGAGAAATGTAAACATGTAAAACATGGATATGATTTTGCATTTAGAACTGTATTCCGGTTTCACCCCCCATTTAATAATGTTTTTTTGAAAGTGTATGTATGTGGGAGACTACAGAAGACCAAACTTAAGAATGTGTAGTGGATTGCTTTGGTAAAAACGACTGTCTTTTCATTTTTAATTAAAAACATACTTGTAAAAAATGTTCTGTTACTTTTACTGGCCTTTAAATTATAGCTTCCCAATCTAGTTATCCAGCTTAGATTCTTATTAATAATGGGAAAAGACTGCCCTGGTCTTAAGCTTGATTAGGTTTGGAATTATTTAACTATACCTTTTACTTGCTACAAGATCTTTTTAATCTGTTAGAATTTGTTTTCAGTATTTTAATGTATTAGTCACAATGAGTACATTCTGTTTCTTGGCATTGAAATGAAATTCCTGAAAGTATTGGTTTTGTGGTATTTTGATGCTTTGCAGGGTATTTATGGATTTTTTAATAGGACCAGCCCCTTCCCCCAGCTTCTTTGTTTTCCTTATTCAAGTATGATTTAAAATCTAGACTTGACTGTATTTTGAAGTTGTTCATGAAGTCTCCTTGACTCATTTAAAATAATTAGATCTCCATGGAATTTTGCATAACTGGAAGCTATAGCAGTATGTCATGTGCTTATCCTGGACTTTGTTCCCTCACATGTATTCTGTAACTTGTGTCCTGTGGATGGTTTTGAAGTGTATCCTTGATAATTATCTCCAGATAGTGCAGCAAACATCCACTGTGGCCCGTGTAGGATAGAAACTGTATCTACAGAGGAAAATAAATTGGTGAATAGTACTTGCTTGAGGAAGTGTGTGTTTCAGTCATTCCATTTTGAAACGACGTTATTACGGACTATTGCAAGTGAGTATGTGTTTTCACTCGGAGGACGTAGTCCCATTATAGATCCTTCTTCATCTGGAGAGACTAAAGAAAAATATCCCAAAGGAATGTATTAAGGAAGTGAAGTTCTTCTGTAAAAGAAAGAGTTACAGCAGAGTAGAGATACAATCACATGAGAGCAGGGAGTTGGTCTGAAGTGATCTGAAAACTACAAACTATATTGCTTGATTAACCCTCTCCCCATCCCCTCTGCCACTCCCACCCAAAACAGGTTTAAAATATACTTACTGGTGTTTGGACATATTGGACAAGTTTAGAGTCAGTGAATCCAGTGGCTGTGTGTTGGGATCAACTTAAAAGAAGGGAGGTTTTTTTTATGCCTTCTTTAAAACGATAGTATCCCTCTTCAAGTTGACTGCAACTGTCAGTATTTGAAGAACACTGTGTCAGGAAGGATCTTTCTAACTATTCTTTCCGCTTGACTGTGCATAAGGAACGCACATCCATGAATATGCGTTTCTCTATCTTTAAACGTTCTTATTTACAGAACTTGATGTTAAAAGTCTGACTAAGGAACAAAGCTCTCTATGGATGTTTTAGGAGCAGTGTTAGCTAGTAAGTTGGGCAAGAAGCCCAATGTTCATGCCATTTACCAATTATAAACATGAATGCTCACAATCATGCACACAGTTGTGTAGTGTTTTTGCTTACTACTGATTGCCATTCTGACTTTTTTCATCAGGTAGCATGCCAGTGTTGAAAATGGCAACACTAGGACAAATAGGAGATTGTGGTCAAATATTCACAAATGGCAAAACAATACTTGAAGCAAAAAAAGACTTTTGGAGGGAGTTGACAGAAGTCAGGTCCTTTTGTCCTACGTTAGTTTCCCTCACAAGAGATGATCCTATTCTCTGGTAAAATTCTCCTCGTTTAGTACTTTAATGCAGATACCAAGTCATTGGGCCTTATGACCTCAATTAGTGAAGGCTTAGTATAAGCAGATCAGAAAGGTCTAAAACATAAAGTAACGTAGCAGAAATAGCTAACTGCAGGGTCACAAAATATATACCTAAATATTTGGTATTCTAAGAATGTTCTATTCCATTTAGGTTGGGGAGGGACTTTTTACAAGAGTGTCCACTGATAGGACAAGGGGAAATGGGTTTAAGTTGAAGGAGAAGAGATTTAGATTGGACCTTAGGAAGAAATTCTTCAGTACGAGGGCGGCAAGACTTTGGAATAAATTGCCCAGAGACGTTGTGGCTGCCCCCTCCCTGGAGGTGTTCAAGGCCAAGTTGGACGGAGAGTTGAGAGGCGTCCCTGCCCATGACAGGGAGGTTGGGCTGGATGATCTCTAAGGTCCCTTCCAGCCTAGGCCAGTCTATGATTCTATGATTCTGTAATATGTCCAGGTGATCATTCTGATTGAAGACTATTTCAAGGAGTTTTGCTGGTGTGCAACATGAAAATGTGGATAAAATGCAACAATAATGCCACAGTAATCTGTTAAAAAAAATAAAATAGAGTCATAATTAGTCCCAACCAATTCCTGTAGAAGTGGGACCACCTGAGAGGGAGTAATAGGGAAGGTGACCATATTAATGTAGTAGAAGAGAATGGCATTTTGGAGAGAAGAGGCAATCACAGCTATGTTTCGTTTTATCTCTCTTTTCCTCTCTCTCTCTCTCTCTCGTAATGAGCCTCATAAATAATATGATTTGTTCATACTATTTCTTGTTTCCATGCAAGACCATATTTATTTTGCCTTACTTAACTTTTCAGTAAAATTTATTAATTAAAAAGACATTAACATGAATGCTGTTACACTACTGTAATCAGGCTGTGACTGTGGATAAGGTGGTGAAATACTGCTATTCCCATTTTACTACGAGGTTGAAGTTTTTTCTTGTGTTTAACTGATACTTCTCTTGTTTTAATTTGTGCCCATTTCCTCTCGCCCTGTCACTGGGCAGTGCTGACAGGAGCCTTCGCTGCTTCCCCCCCAGTCAGGTACGCTCTGATGACTCCTCTGAGTCTTCTCCAGGCGGGAACAGTTCCAGCGCTCTCAGCCTCTCCTTCTGTGACCTTTGCAGCTCTTTTCTGGGCTTACTCCAGAATGTCCATGTCTCTCTTATGAGCAGGGAGCCCAGAACTGGACAGGGTTCTCTGGTTATGTCTCAACAGGGTTGTGTTAAGAGGGGCAGGATCACGCTGTCTGATAAGGAAATTTGACTTGTCTGTTAACTGGTTAATCAAACGTGGGACAGTTTGGACAGGAATCCTTGGAAAGTGAGCACTGAATGCACTAAAAATTATAAATGCTACTGTTTGTTGGTAATCTTATGGAGAGGAAAAGCTTTGAAAATAGCCTTGCTTTAATTCATAGTCATTGTTTTAGTGGCAAAACCTTGTGTTGTTTTGGAATGTCTGATATGGAATCTATGTCCCCAAATGATATAAGCAGAGAATAACTCCTAAAGGGAAAGGTTAAGCTTTAATATTTTGAGCAAAGCAATTTTAAAGTAAATGAAAAAAAGTTATCCTGTAGTATGACATCACTAATAAGGAAACAAACAAACAAAAAATTATGGGGAACGTGAACTTGAAGGATTTGTAAGTTATGTTTTGAGTCAGCTCACCAAAAATGATTTGTTAATTTGTGGTGGAAGTTCAGAGCCTGCACAGAGCTCTCAAATGTTCTCAGTCGATGCAGCAACCATCAACTGATACAAGATATTCAACTTGGTGCATTTTCTGAAGGTGTAAACCAGACATTAAATGACATGAGGGAGTATTGATGTATTGTAAAAATTTGCTCATCTTTATAATAACTTCCCCCTTTTCTCCCAGGATGCTTAAATAATAAGGAAAAAAAGTA